TTATGTTTCAAAGAATCTTAGGTCATAATGCACTATAAAGTCATGACAATAATTAAAAAATCATGCTTAAGTGTTCCACAAACAAACAAAAAATAATAAATAAATAAATAAATAAATAAATACATATCATATTTGTTTGGGGTAAACAAATACAAATTTTAATTTTTGGGTGAACTATCCCAGAAATACCATTAACATATCTTTAATATCTCTTGTTGTCATATGGTAATAAATCACATGACACACACACACACAGAGTCTCTGATCAAGGCTAGTGGCACACGAGCAGAGGTGGAAAGTAACTAATTACATATATTGTCGTTACAGTACTTGAGTACAGTTTTAAATTGTTTTCTACTTTCTTGAGTATAATTAAATTGTGGTACTTTTACTTTTACTTGAGTAGAATAAAACTAAAGTATTCAACTTTGCTACATTTATTTTTCACCAAAAGTACAAAGTACAAAACTAAATAAAAATAGACGAAGAAGGCGCCGATGGAGAAACAGAGCGAGCCGGCGTTTGACGGGCACTTTTCAAACTGCTGGGGTGGAGCCCTGCACTTCAGCCAATAACAGACAGGTCTGACTCGGGTAAAAAAAAAACATCAAAACTTCCAGTTTACCTGGGGGGCGGGGTGTTCAAACTGCGCTTTGCTTTGACTGTTAATCACCTGCGTTGTCGTTTTGAATCAGCATCATTAGCGTTTCAGTATTTTAGTGAATGTGAGCTATGCTCTGATTTTAAATCATAATTTTGTCAGCTCCTGAAATGGGTCATACCATCGATATTACACAGCATTATAAGTAAATAGAAACTCGGTTGATAGTAGGACGCAGTTATTGCATGGATGGAGCAAGAACAATGCAAGTGTCTAAAATACAGTGGGTACGGAAAGTATTCAGACCCCCTTCAATTTTTCACTCTTTGTTATATTGCAGCCATTTGCTAAAATAGTTCAGTTGAATGGTAAAAATCACCCTCTTTAACAGTGCAGCTAAAATAACCTCAACATTAACAACAACACTGAAATAAGAGCGCATGCATTTTACGTGCATCTGGCTGATAGATAAACCATGATTTATCTGTCAATCAGATGCATTTAAAATCACTTTTTATGTGTGCGTGCTTTGGATGTGTGAGCACATGGGCAAAGAAACCAGATAGTCTATGTATGACCAGATGATTTATTCATATAAAAAATGAGACGGTATGAACATTACGGAGAGCTAAACACTCTCATGCAGTGCATGTTTCATTCATACTCGAAGCTGGAGGGCGCCCTCGCGCAGAAAGTCCAAAATGGCCAAGTAGAAGTAATAACTTATGACGTGCAGGAAATCCCTAATATGGACAAAGGCATCCCGCTATTGCTGTAGCTAAAAAGGTAATTTCAGGTAATTTTGAGGTAATAAATATAGTATATGAATAATGCAGTGCTAATTGACATAACATTTACTTATGAAGTGCAGGAAATCCCTAATATGCACAAAGGCATCCCGCTATTGATATAGCTAAAAAAGGTCATTTCAGGTCATTTCGAGGTAATAAATATAGTATATGAATAATCCAGTGCTAATTGACATTTATTACAGTATAGAAACTATTCTGCCTTATTATGTGTTTGTATAAACCAATTCTAAAATTGTCATTAGGAAAATACAGAAAAAATATTATAGAATACAAGTTATTGGTTATCATCCAGCGGTGTATTTGATTTCTTATCCAATTAAAAGACATAAGAAAAAAATAAAGCTTGTCAATTAGACGAGTCAAAAGTTGTTGTTTTTTTACATTGCTGTCCCCCTCATTTCTGAAATTATGGCTATGCCCCTATGTTTGCAGTACAGAAAACAGAGCACGAGTCTTCTTGTGCTTGAATGGTTTAAAGTCATATTAAAATGTGCATAAAGGAATCGATAAGAGGAATCGAATTTTGAATTTTATAACAACTAGACGATTCCTGACCTTAAGCATCCTATTCCAGAATTGGAATAGTTTTTGAATTCCCAAGCCTAGGTATGGGTTAAAATGTTAAATAAAATGCTCTTTTTTGTCCTACTGAAAATGTGCCTGGAGTCCACCTTTGTTTACAACATTACATTACATAACATTATTACAAACTACACTTTCAATAGGATTTTAAACCATTCAAGTCAAGAAGACTCACAGGCTGTTTTCTCTGCTGCACACACATCCTTGTGTAAGTGTTCTTTAGCCTGTTGATTTTCATTCATAGTATTCAGCTAACAAGGGAATACTTTGCGATAAGAGTTACAATAAATGTGAATTATATCTAAGATTTTTTTATTCATTCATTTATTATTATTATTTTTTACCTTATTGGAATCAAAATTAGAAATGTGAATTAGCATTGCATTGCAATTGTGTGTTTATTGTCTTCCACGTTTCATCAATCAAAGCATCTCTATCTGTGAGTGTGAGTGTTAGGGTTAGGGTTAACCCTGCTCCATAATGCTCACATCTCATTTTGGGTAAAAATAGAAAAATTATACTAAAGTACTTTGTAACTTGAATAGTTTTTCAGCAAACTACTTTTTTACTCTTATTTGAGTCATGCTATTTTTCATTACTTTTACTCGTACTCAAGTAAATTATTCCTTAAGTAGCAATACTTTTACTTAAGCACAATTTCTTAGTATTCTTTCCACCACTGCACACGAGTTGTTTCAGAACTTAAGCCTGGCTGAACGTAGGCTAATCGCGTTGACCGTGGAAACTGGTGATAATTTGTTATTTTTTTTTATTATGAAACTGTAGCGATCAAATGAAGTATGTGAGGGGTCGTGTGCACTGCAGCAATATAACATCATTTGTAAGTCGCTTTGGATAAAAGCGTCTGCTAAAAGACTAAATGTAAATGTAATCTAACACACAATACACTGCCTAAATGACTGTGACTTATTTACTCACCGTTTGAAGGTAAATTTTGGATCACTTTGACAGCAGCATTGAACCTCTGCTCGTAGACTGGCTGGTTGTCACCCTCCATCATGACAATCTCACCGCTACAGCAAGATCGGGATCAAACCTGCCAGCAAAGTTATATTCAATAATAATCGGTTGATGTAATGCATGTTCCTAGCATTTGTTACAGTAAACCTAAGCTGCACGTTACAAGTTAACAAGCCAGTTTATTATTCCAAAAGAAGTAAACGAAGCCAAAAACAATCCAATTCGTCTCGACAAATCCTGAAGGACAAGCAAGACATGACTGGAAGTGCAGTGAATAGAATTTAATGTGATATTTCCAGATCAAATTGCATTAGAAATAATCGAAACGACGTTAAACCAAGCACGAGCATTTGATACGTTACCATTTGCTGCTCTTACCTGCTTTACTGGAGACTACGACCTCATGAATACTGACAGCCAACATACGAAAGCCTTCCTCAGGTGTTTACAGGGAATTGTAGTTGCTTTAGAGAGCAACACTGCCATTGAGTCTTGCAACAACGACATTTAAATCCTACAAATACCATAATTCTTTATCTATACGCGTAGCATCCTGGGTAATGTAGTTCACTGAGGTGAGCTTACCCAAGGGAGTTTAAGGCATAAAAAACGTCTCTGACTACGAACTTTGAAAACGGCCAGCAATATTTTGACGCATATTTCTAAAGAAACATGTGCGCTTAATCCTTTCCTGCGCAATAGACGAAGAGGCAACTTTGTAACACTTACTGGAACACATAAAAGCATCCCCTCCCTCGTTACTGGATGTAGTGTAACACTACAACTCCCAACGTTCCATTCGCTCAGCAACAAAGTATCAGCTGTGCTGATAGGTGACGCTGTGGTGAAAGCGAGGCGATGGGAAGTCTGACCCATTTCCTAGAATCGGTTCGTTCGAACAGCTCTTTTCAACGAACCGTTTAAAAGAAACGATTCTCTTATTCTTTTACGCAATTACGTCACCGTGCGTCCCTGTCATCCTGGCGTTGCATATTAAATACTCAAATGAAGCCACATATATTTGTTTACTGGTATTTTCTCGATTATATTATAGGTAAAACGGGCGTACATTTACCATTTAAAACTTTTCAACTCTCATAGTAATGTAAATACAATGTGGAATTAATTAAACTACTACTTTTAATTTACATCTCATGGTTTTGCCGATTTTAATATTAGCCTATTTTGTTTTATTATTATTATTATTATTATAAACAACTCTTTTTCGTATGCATGTTGATAAAACTGCCATATAATCAAGTCGTCAACATTTCCAGTGTGTCATATTCCTGCTACTCGGTTCACTCCAAAAACTCGTACTACGGGTTCTCCGTTGATGATCCGGCTCAATGCGAGTCGCGCATGTTTCGGTTCAATGATTCAGTGAGTCGTTAACTCGAGAACAGCTCCTCCCTATTCAGTCTGATATACGAATCGTTCAGACCAGTTTTGTGAACCGGTTCGATTGATTCAATACAAAGATTCGACTCAAATGAACGATTCTGACATCATTGGTCTGGGGCTGAGTTTGAGCTTCAATCAAATCCCAGAGACGAGGAGTAGGAAGCTCTGTTGAGACATGTAAGATGGCAGAGCTGCAGATGTTACTAGAGGAAGAAATTCCAGCCGGTAAACGAGCTCTCGTAGAGAGTTACCAGAACCTTACGAGGGTCGCGGACTACTGTGAGAATAATTATGTTCAGGTAAGCACGCGCTGATCTCCAGCACTGCTGTGGGGATCTGACAGGAAATGTGGGGTAAAATGGAAATGCAGGGATGAGCCGCTTTTGGGAGAACATTTTGAGCGCATAAAGGGCGATCTTTTTAAAAGCTTGATCTTAGTTAAGTGGTTTGTTGATAAGATGTGTGTGTGTGTGATCGTTAGGGGGATTTGTGTCGTTTGCATTGAGGGTGTGTCTGGATACTGTTTAACTCACACATATGAAGTGTTGTTGATATCTAGCAGAATTGTCTCAACTTCAGAAAGGAGGATGTGAGAGTTGTCTGGTCTTCAGAACGATATATTTCTGACTGTCTTGACTAGGGATATGCCGGTATCAAATTTTCATGTTGCGATTAATTGCTAATGCGTTTGTCACGGTATACGGTATTATCACGATATTGAATTTTAGTAAAAAAAAAAAAGTGCTGTCATAATACAGTATGACAGGTTTAATAACTTTTGTCTTATAACAAAAATAACTGGACATTTAAATGCTATAAAGCAATACAGAAAAATCTATAAATTTAACAGTTTTACACAGATTAAAGTGCAAAAGAACTATAAAGCGCAATAGGTATCACTTTACAATAAGACCTCATTAGTTAACCTTAGTTAATGCATTAACATTCACAATGAGCAATAGC